TACAGCAATCGTTGTTTGCGCATAAGTGATTTCGGATAGATTTCAGAAGAATAGATCTGCCTCTCTATTATATGACTATCGGGTTATCAAAGTATCCCAGTTTCATGCAAACGTAACACAGAACTTACATTTTTAAAAAATATTTTCGGGTCGGGACGTAAACATTCTTGCTTTTGATTAGTAACACGCAGTGTATTTATATTCTTAGATTATATTGTGTTGTTTAAAAAACTGGAGATAACATTAAACAAAGTCAGCAATCGCTCTTATGAATCCATTGCAGTATGCGGAGATTTTAACATTGATTTTCTGGTCGAATCTTGCGAGAAAGAGCAGTTTCTCAATTTAATCATTCCTTCAGTTTGGATATTACAATGAATGTTCCTGCACGGATCACACCAAATTCAAAGAAGGCAATCCATCAAATAATATTAAACAAAACCACTACCCGATTTGAAATTGAAACAAAAGATTTAGGATACAGTGATCACGATGCACAAATTCTTACAATTATAAAAAATGCTAACACTGACACATTAAATAATACACGTATTAGTAGATTGTTTACTAAAAGTAAAATACAATTTTTCATCAATTACATGCTGCAAGTCATGAGACACGGTTCACAATACTGATACAAACTATAAACATAATTTTTTTTTCAACCCTTTCATTTCATTTTAACACTTGCTTTCCTCTTGAAAAAAGAAAATTAAATATTTCACGGAAAAACAATTCTTGGATAACACAAGGGATTAGGACATCATTTAAAAACAAACGAATTCTTTCTTTCATTTCTAAGCATCATAACGTATCTCAAGATTTCCTCCTCCACTTTAAAAAATACATATCATTGTTAAGAAAAGTGATACGGCGGGCTAAAATTATGAACATCAGGATATTTTGAACTTAACTAATAAAAAGAAACAATGTGGAATATAGTACAAAATTCGACCGAATCTTCCAAAAACCCTGTAGAGAATGTTGTTTTAAAAAAAACGGTAGAAATGTGAACGATCCGGCAACAGTGGCTAGTCTCTTTAAACAATACTTTTCGAGAATTGCTGCCAATCTCAGTAAGGGCCTTCAGCCACAAAATTCAGCTTCACACGTTTCCCCAAAAATTTAGGCACGATGTTTGTTTCCGAAACCTCTTCCTATGAAATTCTCAAAATAATCGGTGGACTCAAAAATAAATATTCGGTCGGTTTAGATGAATTTTCAGATTGTTTGTTAAAGACTTGTGCGCCCGCCATAATACACCCGTTAACTCACATATTTAATGTACCCTTATGCACAGGAATTTTTCCTGATGTTTTTAAAACAGCTCAGATAACGCCGCTTGTCAAAAAAAGCAACAAAAATTAAATACAAAATTTTCGACCAATTTCTCTTTTGTCGCTTTTTTTAAAAACATATTAGGGAGAATTTTTTATATACGAATGGAAACATTTCTTAGTAAACACGACGCGTTTTCAGATTGCCAACATGGGTTTCGAAAATCAAAATGTACGGAAATAGCCATCTTTTGTTTTCTTAATGATGTCGCCTCAACCATAGATAAAAACGAAGGACCTTTTGGAATATATTTAGATCTTTCAAAAGCTTTTGACGTCATTGATCATAACATTTTACTATTAAAATTACCTTCCTATGGAATTCGTGGTATTGCTCAAGATTTGTTATATTAGTATCTTAAAGAACGATCTCAAAGAGTAGATATACCTTACTGAAAGAATGGAACATTATGAACACTTTTCTGATGCTTTGCCAATTGCATGTGGAAACCCCAAGGTATCGATTTTAGGTCCTATTCTCTTTCTTCTAGACGTAAACGATATGCCTTCGACAATTAGAGACGGAAGAACGGTTCTCTTTGCGGATGATACGAATATTTTTTGCAATACAGAAACCGGAAATAGTACAAATTGTCGGCGTGATGGTGTAATGGTAAGCGAATCGGACTGTTATACCCAAGTTGGCGGGGTCAAGGCCGAGGATTTTTAAGGGCGAAAAATTCCTTCGTACGCCTTCCTTCGGAGGGGAAGTAAAGCTGGCTGTCCCATGTTAGCAGATTTACTTGCATGTAAAAGATCCTCAAGCCTAAATGTCGCCTCTGAGCAAAATTTAAATCGCCTGTTCGTCGCCCAAGAAATACTTCCTTTCTTCGCTAGTTTGTGGAAAGAGCGTAGCGAAATTTGCGTGGTCAGACGGTAGAGCAGGCCTGATGGCCCGAGTCTCGCCACGTAAAATAAGGCTTCAATTCAATACAATATCATATATTTCAAATTGGTTCCATAATAAAATTAATAATATATGAAAAAACAACTGTTTCAATGCAGTTTTCCTTTTCAAATAATTGAAATCCATTGAAAATTAACTGTGTGCAATTGACTGACGTTACGGTAACAAAACTTTTAGGTATTTCAATTCAGTGAAACCTTAAATGGAACGTACATTTAATTGAATTGAACACTAAATTATGTTCATTATGCTACGCTTTCAAAATTCTTTCAAATTCAGTCTGTCCTCATACTATTCGTTATGTATACTTCGCGAAAGTTCATTCCCGCCTGAGATGTGGCATAATATTCTGGGGAAATACATCTTATAGTTCCCATACGTTTAGATTACAAAAAATAATTATACGAATAACAAGCGAACCCCATCTACGGGATTCTTGTAAGCCTGTCTTCATTAATCTTGGTATTTTACCTTGCTTCTTGATATATGAATCAGTAGTTTTTGTCAAAAATGACGTAACTATGTTCGATAATAGTATATTTTCAGCAAACGCTGATGTCTATAACTACAACATTCGACATAGTAATCATTTTCATCAGATGACCTTATCAACAGCTCACTACAAAAAATTCTGATATAATGCATGTACATTATTTTATATCTTGCCAGATGAAATTAAATGATTAAATTCGATTCAAAAGTATATGCCTTAAGTAAAATCTCTGTTGCATAACTGTTTCTATACAATTGCAGTCTCTACCGAGCATCCAAAAGGAAAGTAATATTTTTTTTTAACAATGACATTTAATGTATATTTACCATTTGAATTGTATAATTCTAAAGATCCTCTGACAAGTATTGTAGTTCGGCTTGTCGGTCAATGACCCCCTCGATCAGGTTTTCGTCCAGTTTTCCTGATCCTTGATGCTGAGATGGCCCCTTGTTTTGTTTCTGGACCTAAATGTAACGTCAAATTATCTTCTCTCCATAGCATGACACACACAGTTTTTGTTTTTGACGCAAGTAAATAAGTAAATTAATTTTTCACTTTTTTCTTTAGCAATTTACATGTTGTTGCGTGTATTTTGTATAGAGTTTTGTTTCCAGTGTTTTCAGTGTAGAATCGATGACTCACGCAATTTTCAAAGTACTACTACAAGATTCCCCCATTGTTAGAAAATATACGATATTAAATCGTCTTCAAAACAAATATTCGTTTCAATTTCGTCATCGGTTCGTATCTACAGCTAAAATAATTATCCAAAATTGAACTGAAATTGAATGAGAATACGTGTCCTGAATTTCTCTCGGAATGTTAATTTCTTGTCCACATTCTGTGACATTTAACGTGGGGTTTTCTGAGAAGCTTTGGGAATGTACTACTTTGAGATACATTTCTTCCTTGAGTTACACTTGTTTCGGTTAACTTGTTTATTATGAATATCGAATAGAATCGTGTCTCCTGGGAGTGCCGTAAAAATGACGTCGTTTCTCTTATCGCCCGTTCCAAACTCTCCTACTTATCATAGGCAATGACAAGAAAAGGGTAAACACAGTCCAACTATTTAATGGGATACATATCTCGGCACGATTGTTTCGTATAAAAGTTTGGAGTCTAGCAGAAAACAAAAGGAGCGTGCCGGTGAGCTCTGGTTTTAAATCCCATCCTGTAGTTAGAGAAGGAAACACAGGTAAAACACATGAACAACACTATCACACATATCGGTGGACCAGCCGGGGTCTTAATACTACAGCTTGTTTCGGCTGGAGTGATGGTCAACTGGGGGAGATACCTGGCCGGGAAAATCCCCCGCAAACGACTTATAGGTCAGCGGCAGATCTCACCGTCTAGTGGGGGAGGAACCCCACCACCTCTCGCAATAAAACATTCACTACAGAAACGGAACTAACGACCAATGCAGTTGTCATTCCCGGATACATTAATCAATCATTTACTCGTGGTATGGAACATGTGTGTAAACAGAGCTAGACGTCTAAAAAGAACTGCGCAGGTGGGCCGAAAACAGACGTAGTTCTCGGGCGCCGTCGAAATTTCTCGGTCGTGCGGGGCACGCTTCGATTTGTTGACCGAGAATTCCGTGCGCGCGAGGGGCGCATACCCAGAGCATGAGTAACTCGAAAAATTTTGCGCGGGAGGAGGTGGCGACGGGGGCGGCAAGGGCGCCTTATTATTCAACGCCGTTTCCGGCAACCCCGATGCGTCATTCGGCCGCTTCGGGCAGCTTCGGCTCTTCTCGCTACGCCGCGCCCCACCATTGGCGATGACGTCAGGGCCACGTGACGCGCTATGAGATCACCGGTCTATTTTGGGCTCTCGGCGGCGATGATGTCATGCCCCGCGCCGCGCCGCCGCTCCGGCGCAGCCTTTGTGTGGCGGGCGGGCGAGGTGAGGGCGCTGCGGGCGCTGCTGTACGGCTGTGCCGGGCGGCAGAGCGCGCCGAGCGGAGCACTGCGACTGCGCAGGCCAGCGAACGGGCGAGGAGAGCGGAGCGAGACGCGAAGGGCTTCCCCCGCCGCCGCCTCAGCCAGTGAGTGAGTCATCGCCGACCCAGCGAGACGGCCGGCCGCACCGCCGACCAAAATACCGGGCGAACCACCCACCCAGCCGACAGCGCTCAGCAGGTGGACCCCGCAGGCGGGCGACTGACCGGACGAGCGCGAGCGCGGCTGACTCGGCAACGGCGACGACGACTACGGACGGCCGGTACGGGCGCGGGCGCGCCGCCGTTGCAACCATGTTCTCATCGGCCACCAACTCGTCCTTCTCCAGCGACACCGACAACAGCCAGGACTCCCGCATGTCCACGGGCGGCGGGAGCAGCTCTGGCGGCGACTTCCTCTCGCTGCCCAGCGGCGCGGAGGTCATCACTCCGACCACGGTAAGTGTCAGTGCGCCCCCCCTCCCCTCGGGCCCCGCCCCCGCGGCCGCGGGTGCGTCGCGGGGCGTGTGACTCATCGCGCGAGGACCGCGTGGTGGAGCCCAGGGCGCGAACCCGAGACCCCGCTCCCTTACGCCCACCGCGGACAAAGATGTCTGGCGACCTTGGCGCGGTTGCCGACGTTTCAGATAGAACGTTCCTTTTATGGCAAGGCGGGGCCGTGGTGTCCGCCGCGCAGAGCAGGCAGACGGCGGCGCTGCCCCGCGGCTTATGTAACGCGCCCAACTGCCAGCGCGGCTGTCACCGGTTTCATCTCATCTACCCGTCCCTCGACGGCTCGCTATCAGCCTCTCGCAGTGTGCCTAGTGTAACTTCTCGGAGCGCGGCACCTCCGCGGGATTCTTCGTAATTTCTTTTACCGTCGAACCGTGTTCCGAATTCCAGTTCAAATAAGACGGACGGCGGTTGCCAGTTACTTTCAACCGGTCGCGATGCGCCAGAGTCATCTCGCGAAGCGCGGGGGTGGCCGTTATCGAGCTGTTCCTCATTCACGAAACAGCTGTTCGCGTCCCAGTGCACGCTGTCGCAAGATACGACACTTTCACCTGCGCAGTTCGGCGCGCGCGCGCGCCTTCGCTTGCCTCTCGCTGGCTGGCTGGCGGAGGCTGCGGCGGCTCGGGTCGTCCGCAGCGGGGGCGTGTGTGCGACAGCGCCTGGCGACTAGACATCTGCTGTGACGTCATGCCGGGTGACCGTTGTCTGCTAAGACCCTTCTTAAGCCGGCGTTACCAGGCATAATTGGACGGGGGCAGTGTTGGCGCTCTCAACACACTTGTCCGGACCATCTGTGTACTCTGACGTGTGCGTGATACCAACTATTTGTATGCATTGGGGCCTGTGGGTATCAAAGATTGATCCAAATGTTCGACCTAGTTCCAGTCCCGAGGAGGGGGTGAAAAGTACTCTTGTATCAGTGTCCCAATAATAACATCCTTTACGATACTTCAAAATTGTATTCGTGTAATATTTGAGTAAGATGTAGGAGCCACTAAAATCCCAGTGTATTAAACGAAAATGTGTGTTTATTCTTCAAATGTAACATTAATGATAACAATTATTCGATAATTGTACACGCCGCATATGATTCTGAGGATTAATACAGTTATGTGACCTTCATTTACTAGTTTTACACATGCTCCATGTGCATTCAATGCAAAAACAGTCCTTTCTGTCAGAAAATGAATTTTGCGATGGCCTAGTGAAAATACACGCCCTTAATGAAGATTAATCTATACAGCAGTGACAGCGTCATTGCTACATATATCGAAACATAGAGACACAAAATCTACTTTGCTACAAAATATAATTGAAAGTGTAAACTATTTCTAATTAATTCCAGTTCATTTTCAAAAATAAAATTCAATTTCCATTCAGGAAAATGACTATTGATAAAGATTGCAGTGAATTCAAAAGTTCATAATCTCAAACGAAAGGTCCTCACAGATCTACAAAAATGTGTATGGTATTAAAGTTTGTTTGATATTAACTACTGTCCTAAAATTATCTGAACCCAGCGTCTATAAGATTCAGTAATGTCATATTTGAACTTTTTTTAGTTTTAATATTAATAATGTAAGGTTATGTTGATAAAGATTAGTAAAATATATCAGCCTCTTCTACATTAATAAACTGTAAAAAGGAAACAATGGAATCTCATCTTTACATTATCATTTTACTCAATTCTTTCTGAAATCATTTCAAAAACGTTGCTACTCTTTTGGACAAAATAAATTTACTTCCATAGTATTGCAGAGTAGTAACCATAATTTATTTCTCTAATAGCCTTGAGGTTCAGATTCAGTAAACAGTGTCAAATGAAAAGCCGTCGTCGAAGTTAAATACTACCTAGTAAATTTTCAATTGATCAGCTCGCAAGAACGTTGCATTTTCTCAGTTAGAATGTCGTTCTACATTTTCCAGATGCAAATCTCCTTCCACCCCATCATAAAAACAATTGCGCATTGAATCATTCCGCCTTAGAGAAGGATGCAGCCCCATGCTGCTAGGTGGCACCATGCATTCCAGAAATGCGCGAAGAACTTTGTTTCTTTCCATCAACAATTCTTCAGCTGTCTCAACTAAAAAGTTGACATTTAATCTCTGAGGGAGTCATTTATTCGAGAAAAATATGGTATTCCAAAATGAATTTTCATCTATTTCGAAATAGTCCTTCCATACACCCTCGAGTATATCAACCGAAGATCTTATATTTACTTTTTAAGGGGTCTACAAATCTATTTTCACGCTCCAAAATAATTTGAGTCTTCTAATTTCAAAAGAAAATGTCCCTCACTCTCGGATGCATGAGGCGAATAGTTGATATTTAATTATTTTTGTAAGGGGGTGGATATTTAATTTTGTAATATATTCAAGAATATAAGGCATTTTGCTCCGTATAAAACTAGATGTGCGAGGGTGATAACATTTCGTTTCGTCCCTTCTGCGCAGCCTCGTCACGAGGCGTCGCTGTGCGTGGCGCAGCCCTCCGCCGTCCGGCGCCGCGTTCGTGAGGGGGCGGGGGGGGGGTCGCGTGCAATGCACTGCGGAAAGGCGGCGCTCTCTCACCCTCCCCGCTGACCGCCCGCCCCCGCGTCGCGGACGCCGGCGACAAGGGGTTCAAGGCTGGGTCGATTACGCGCGGCGGCGGCGGCAGCGTCCCTCCCTCGCTCGCTCGCCCGCCCTCCCTCTCGCCCCCGCTATATGATGGGGGTCGTGGTGAGGGGGGCGAGTGGATGGGGCATGCCAAGGGGAGGGGTCGGACCGCGGGGGGAGAGAGCGAATGTTTGCGGCGCGGCCTCCTGTCCTGCACTTTTTTCCTAGTTCCCTCTTCCGTCTTCCTGCTGTTGTTTGCTACGGCGGCGGCGCCCATTCCTCGGGGGGCACATAGGTCAGGCACATGTAGACGCTCCCCGTTTTCTTACACAACTTGCAGACGATGATTGAATGCATCACCTGCTAACTTGCAGAGAAGAGAAGAGCCACGTATTTTATTACTGGAAGATACAAAATAAATTAAAAAAAAAAAGATTGTGAGGCTTTTTAAACGGCAAATTTTATTTTTAATTCTTTCTAGACGTGTTCTCAAATACAAATAAATAAGTTTCTTTTTCCTCATTATAAGTACAAAAAATCATTAAATTCACGAAAGAATCATCATTTTAGATCTGACACTGACAAATGGCTCAAATTAATTTTTACCGCCGATTACCTACCTCGAAAATATTTGAATAATAAGTGTAGTTAAGACGCACGAATATAGTCTTCCACAACAAACAGAACATCATATAACAAATAGAACTCTGGGTGCCTTGAAGACGTAGGAGTTGAGACAAGTTGATGAAACACATTTTCAGAATCTGAGTCTTTCATGTACCGAAGTATTAATAAATGTCCAAACAAGATTTATATTCAGTATTAATAAATGTCCAAAGAAGAAATGCAAATAAATGTGAAGTAATTACCAGATTCAGGGATAGGCGTTTCATTGTATTTAAGGAAGATATTTCCTTTATTATTGGGAATCGCCGATCTGCATCCCTCGGTCTATTTTCCCTTATCCTCGCTTGCTAGTTAATCTTCTTATACTTTTCGTTACATGAAAAGACATAACATGAGTCCATCCCGGTCGTTCATCTGGTGTTTCGAAAAAAGTAAACATTCTACTTAAGTTTCTATTCATAAGTAGAGCATATAGATGTTCTCGCCCTAGTCGAAGCCTAGAGAAAATCTCAAACACAGGATAAGTCAGCGAGGTAAGAAGATTATCGTGATAGGTGATTTCACGTTTTGTTTTCACAAACATTTAAGAGGTGGTTTTATACGTTGTCAGTGCTCTAGAAGGAAATGCAAATGTTGCTTGAAAATGGGCAAAAGTGAACAATATGATTCTAAACACCATGGGAACCGTAGCAATCAATCCTCATAGTAAGGACGAAGACAACGCGATGAAGTCTGGCTAGATCGTTTTGAGGAGGTAGGTAAACGGTTTGAAAAAGTTGACTGCTGGATGCTGATTCGCCCGTATTGTGAATAAATTTTCCTGTCCTTTTTTAGAATTCTATGGAGCGACGATTCCCATTCTTAGCCGAGTCTTCCTTACTTTCACACTAATGTTGCCAAACGATTGACAATAAAAATTCAGTAATTAATAATGCAGATACGGCGTCCTCTCGTGCTATGCGTCCATATACATTTTGCACATTTTACCAACAATCGTATTATCAGATCGGACTATTTCCTTCCACTTTTGGAAGTGTAAAACACTATTCACGCAACATCATTTATGATTATTTTTAAGGGTGGTGAACTGTTTGCCGTATTCATTCTTCGACTCGAAATGAAGCTTCTACATTTGTTCAGTTGTAAATCAGCTTGTATTAATCAGTAAATTAAGTAAATTCTGTCCTCGATATTCTAAAGATGTCATTTGAAGCCCTCCCCCTCTACACACACACACACAATGGTCGGAAATCCTTCGGCCACCCTGATTTGCTCGTCCACTTATCTCCTCAGAACGCGTAACCGCTTCCCAAAGAACGCGTGCGCGCAGGCGGCGGTCCGAGCCGCGCAGAGGAAGCGGCATTTGCTGCGCGCCGCGCCCACCGAATACTAACGAGCGCGAAATCTTCGCTCAGGGCCGCGCAGGCGACCCGGCGCGGCGGGCAGGGGAGCTGACGTTTGCGACTCGCCGGGGCTTCGTCGCGAATTGCTTGGGGGCGGCTGGGCGAGAGAAGCCTGGAAACGAAGAGGAGAAAAGACGCTGGAAGTGAAGAGAGTAGAACGTTTCTTCATCCAACGTCTCGGTCAATATCTTGTATAAAGTGTACCGTTCACATAGTTTTTGTTCGTTCTGAAAGTTCGGGAAGATATCAACAATAGTTGTGGCTCGCCTTATCATAGTTTACTCATGAATTGTATTGAGTTCATACACTAACAACTTTCATGACACAGTCGTCCATTAAAGACTAAGATTTTCATCAACAAAATGATCAACGACGTTAATCTTCGTTATAATTATTAACAACTCTGAATTCGTTTTATTTCCATTTGTTGTGTGAGAGTAGCACTTCACTCTTGTACTTCCTGAATTATTAGCCCTGATGTCACATAGCATTAGAGGCCGAATAGTCCTATGCACTTCCTGAGTTTCGCGTCTCTCTCGTGTAGCGAAGGCAGGGCAGGGCAGGGCAGCGCAGTGCGGTGCAGCGTAGGGCGCCGTGGACGAAGGGCGAGGCCGAGCGTTATCGAGTGGGAGGGCAGGAGGGAAGGGCCATGCCCTGCAGCGAGAGGGCAGGGGGCGGAGCGCGTGGCACGCAGAGGGGACGAAGTGCACGCGGCGTTGTGGGGAACGAAAGAGTAGGGGGAGGCGAGGGTTCCACTGGACCAGCGCTGCCGCCGCGTTATCGATCCACGCCCTCCGCCTCCGTCCCCCTTCCGTTGCGGAGGGGGGCGCGTGCATTGTGCCTCCTCCCCCCCGCCTCCACGCTGCGCTCGCCGCCCTCCTCGTTGCGCGAGGGGGGCTTGGGTGCAGGCGAGAGCGAGGGTTTGGGCTAGGGCTAGGGGGCCCCGTGCATCGCGGGATGTGGTTCAGTAGGCGTCGTGGCGGTGGTGGTGCTTGCTCTGGCAGCGACGGCGGCGGTGGGCGATGCTATCGGGGCGGCGGGCCACGGGGCGGTCGCGTGCA